TCATTCGGATAAGGTTTGATAGACTTTTTGATCAAAAGCGTAATTTGAGAGTTTTTGGAGTTCTTAGGCTTGAGTCTGATGCTAAATTGGTGTTTTGATGTTGTTTTGAACATTCTGAAGGTTGGAACAAGTTTGAATGATATATTAGGATTGGTTTGAATGATTGGTTAAGGTTCTGGGGGCCTTGGGTGTGTTTCGGATGCTCAACAGACCATTTTTGGACTTGGAGAAGGATAAGATTTTTGCTGGTATTTGTTGCAGACTTTTCTTCATCGTGATCGCGTGGGGAGGCTTGCAATAGCGAAGGCTTAGATGAGGCAAAGGGGATTTTTGTTCTACGCAATCGCGAGAAGAGGAGTGCGAACGCGTAGTATTGGGGGAAGTTGAATCGCGAACGCGTGGGCTACGCCGCGTTTGCGAAGAGGAAGAAATGAGGCAGTTGGGGAGTGGAAGTTGCTCTACGCGATCGCGTAGAGTTGAGCAGCGGAAGCATCGCATTAATATAAGGAGTATCGCATTCGCGTAGAGTAAATCTGAGAGCCAGCGAAGTTGCTCTTCGCGATCGCGTGGAAGCTTCTGTGATAGTGATTAAGGCTGCGTCTGGGCAGAACATAAAGTTCAAAATCGAGGGTTTTGAGTTCATATCACAAAATTGAATTGGGAGCTCGATAGGAGACGAACTTTGGAGAGATTTTTGGAGGGAGTTTGCGAGTAATAATTCTTAACTCCTTTTTGCTTATAACCCATTAATCTAAACATGAATTCATCATCTAATTTCAGATTTGGGGTAAGAAATTGGGGGAAAATTTGGAAAAGTTCTTAGACCTAATTATCTAGTTTTGATTGGGGATTAGACATCGGATTTAGATAATTTTGGCATGGTTAGACTCGTGCGTGAATGAGGGTTCATAATCCATAACTTTTACCCGATTCCGAGACATGGACCCGGGGGGCTTCTTGAGCAATTATCTTAATTTTGCGTGTTAGCTTCGAATTAATTAGTGGAATCAGTTACTTGAAGTTATATTTACATTATGCAATTTATTTGAATAGATTTGGGCCATTTGGAGTCGAGTACTCGTGGAAAGAGCGTGGTTTCGGGTTGATTTTGAGTCGGTTCGAGGTAACTGGCTTGCTTAACCTTGTGTGGGGGAACTCCCCTTACGATTTGGTATTGCTGATATTTGAAATGCCTTGTACGTGAGGTGACGAGTGTGTACTTGTGCTAATTGTTGAAAATCTGTTTTCATTAAGTAACTATAATTGTGTTTCCTTTCTTGTTTATATTAGCAATTTAAGCCTACTGTTAGTTTAGGGGAGCATGTCTAATTGACTTAATTGCTTTACTTTCTCAAATTGCTTTATTTGAACTCTGTGCAGCATACTAGGTTAGAAATACCAGTTTACCTTGGTATGAAATTTGGATTTAATTGAATATTCTTCGTGTTGCTGCTGTATCTTTACTTTGGGACTACGAGATGGTATCTCAGGAGATCCCTCTGTATGTTTACTTTGGAACTCTGGATTTGTATTCTGGTAGATCACCGTGAACATATATTGATTTGGACTATAGTACGGTATAACAAGAGATCCCCAGCACATATATTGAGGATACTAAGAGATCCTCGGGATACCGAGAGATCCCCAGCACATATATTGAGGATACTAAGAGATCCTCGGGATACCGAGAGATCCCCAGCACATATACTGAGGATACTAAGAGATCCTCGGGATACCGAGAGATCCCCAGCACACATATTGAGGATACTAAGAGATCCTCGGGATACCGAGAGATCCCCAGCACACATATTGAGGATACTAAGAGATCATCGGGATATTGAGAGATGCTCGAGTATTTATATTTGGGATTACAAGACGGTATCCTGGGAGATCCCTAGTTGTTATCTCTGTGTTGAGCTGTATTCCTTTTGTGATTATTTTGTCTCTGTTGTAGTTGTTTCTACTCTTATTATCCTGTGTTACTTCATACTGTTAGAATTTAATTATATTGTCGCATTATATACTGTTTTACCTTGTTTTTCAGCTATAATCAGTAGGGCCCTGACCTTCCTCGTCACTACTCGACCGAGGTTAGGCTTGACATTTACTAAGTACCGTTGTGGTGTACTCGTGACCTTTCTGCGCATGTTTTTCATGTGCAGATCCAGGTTCTTCAGCTCAACCCTACCATCCTTGAGGCGAGGCGATCCTTTAGAGACTTCAAAGTATATCTGCCGCGTCCGCAGACCGAGGAGTCCCTTTCTATTTTCTCTTATAGTTATAGCCCTTCTGTATTACTTTGTTTTAGACATTCTGGAGTTAGCGCACTATGTAGTATCCTTAGCTTGTGATTTCATGAGATTCCAGGTTTTGGGAAGTTGTTCATTTTTTGAGATCTTGTATTAGTATATGTAGAGCGGTATCTTAAACGTATCTATGTTTGCTTATCTTCAGTTTTTATTAGTTTTTCCGCATTTTATTTCTTTTTCCACAATTGTTAGGCTTACCTAGTCATAGAGACTAAGTGCCATTACGACAATTCACGGAGGGCGAACTTGGGCCGTGAAAAGTTGGTATCAGATCTCTACGTTCATAGGAGTCGTGAATCACAAGCTGGTTTATTAGAGTCTTGCGGATCGGTACGGAGACGTCTATACTTATCTACAAGAGGCTATGTAACTGTTAGGAAAATTCTACTTCATTTGATTTCCTTGTCGTGCGAGATTTTTGATATCATAATTCTAAACTTCTGTCTTATATTCTCTCACATATGGTAAGGACACATGCTACCAGAGATGATCAGGCATCCGTACCCCCTACTAAAGCCGTCAAAGGTCGGGGTCGGGGTAGAGGTCGAGGACGCGCACGTAGTGCAGTTAAAGCACCCGTGTGAGCTGCTACCGAAGGGCCACCAGCAGTTCCAGCCGGAGTCCAGGCACCTGATACGCCTACTGCTACTACTACTCCAGCTCTCTAAGAGACTCTTGCACAGTTCATGAGCATGTATACCTCTCTGGCTTAGGCAAGGTTCTTCCCCTTGCTGCAGCCACATCTCAGGCGGGGGGAGGAGCATAGACTCCCGCCACCCACAGTCCTGAGCAGCAAGTGCATGTTGATCAGGTCCCAAGATTATTCCTGTACAACCTGTAGTCCCAGATCATCCCGAGGACAGGACAGCGGCTTTCGAGGATGAGCAGCTGCGGCTTGAGAGGTTCAAGAAGTACAAGCCTCCTGTATTCAGTGGTCTAGCATCAGATGATGCTCTAGGATTTCTAGATGAGTGCCACCGTATCTTCCATACCATAGATACATCAGGATTGAGCGGGGTTTACTTCACTATCTTCCAGCTTTAAGGAGTCGTCTATGAGTGGTGGCATACTTATGAGTTAGACAGTCCGGATGAGGCATCTTCCCTGACTTGGACTCAGTTTTCAGATATATTCCCGAGAGAGTATGTTCCTCAGAGCCTTAGGGATGCATGGCGCGCAGAGTTTGAGCATTTGCGCCAGGGTGCTATGACTGTCTCGGAGTATGCTGTCCATTTCACTAGCTTGGCTACACATGCACCAGCTTTGGTTTATACTATTCGCGAGAGGGTTCATCGGGGTATTGAGGGGATCATTCCCACCATCAGATCTAGCATGGCTCGTGAGTTGGAGATGGATATTTCTTATCAGCATGTGGTGAGCATTTCTAGGAGAGTGCAGGGTATGCATGCTCGAGATAGAGAGGAGAGGGAGGCCAAGAGGTCTCGAGAGTCAGGCCATTATTCTGGTGCTCGTGCTCCAGCCGCAGTTCGTCATGGTAGGGGTTATATGAGTCGCCCTATTCATTCAGCTCTTCTGGTAGCCAGTGGTATTCCAGCTCCTCCTAGGCCTCAGGAGCCTTATTATGCACCTCCAGTATCTAGTGCGCCACCTGCTCGGGGTGCTTTCAGAGGTCAGTCCAGCAGACCTGGCCCGAGCAAGTCACAGTCACCACATCCTCCCAGAGTTTATTTTGAGTGTGGTGACGCACGCCATGTGGTGAGGGATTGCCCTAGACTTGGGAGGAGTGCACCTCTACAGACCTCTCAGCCACAACGTGCCCCACAAAGTTCTCAGGCTATGGTTACATCACCAATTGCTACCCCACCTACTCAGCCAGCTTGAAGTGGAGCTCGGGGAGGTAGAGGTTGCCCTAGAGGGGTAGGCCATGCTAGATATTATGCTCTTCCTACTCGTACCGAAGCTGTTGCCTCCGATTCTATCATCACAAGTATTGTCCTGGTTTGCCATAGAGATGCATTGGTTTTATTCGATCCAGGCTCCAACTATTCTTATGTGTCTTTTTATTTTTCCCCGCATTTGGGTGTACCTCGGGATTGTTTGAGTTCCCCTGTTTATGTTTCTACTCATGTGGGAGATTCTCTTGTTGTGGATCACGTTTATCGGTCGTGTGTGGTTGCTCTTAGTGGTTCTAAGACCATAGACGATCTATTATTGCTCAGCATGGTAGATTTTGATATTATCTTAGGCATGGCCTGGTTGTCGCCCCATTATGCTATTCTTGATTGTCACGCCAAAACCGTGACACTGGCTATACCAGGTGTACCACGAGTAAAGTGGAGGGGTACCTTAGATCATACTTCCAGTAGAGTTATTTCATTCCTTAAGGCTCAGTGTATGGTTAAGAAGGGGTGTGATACGTATCTAGCTTATGTGAGGGATGTCAGTATTGATAACTCTACAGTTGATTCATTCCCAGTAGTACGAGATTTTTCTGATGTGTTTCTAGATGATCTTCCAGGCATGCCGCCCGATAGAGATATTGATTTTGTCATTTATCTATTGCCGGTCACTCAACCCATTTCTATTCCTCCATATCGTATGGCCCCTCCTGAGTTGAAGGAGTTGAAGGATCAGTTACAAGAATTGCTTGATAAGGGTTTCATTCGGCCCAGTGTATCACCTTGGGGTGCTCCTATCTTGTTTGTGATGAAGGAGGATGGTTTTATGCGTATGTGCATTGATTATCGCCAATTGAACAAAGTTACAGTGAAGGATCGTTATCCTTTGCCTCGTATTAATGATTTATTTGACCAGCTACAGGGTGCACAAGTGTTTTCTAAGATTGACTTTCATTCAGGCTACCATCAGTTGAAGATTCGGGAGCCAGATATCCCGAAGACTGCTTTCAGGACTCGGTATAGTCATTACGAGTTCCTTGTTATGTCATTTGGGCTAACCAATGCCCCAGCATCCTTCATGCATTTGATACCCAGTGTGTTCCGGCCATATATTGACTCATTCATCAGTGCCTTTATTGATGATATTCTGGTATACTTCCGGAGTCGGGAAGATCATGAGCAGCACCTGAGGACAGTGCTTCAAACTTTGAGGGAAAAGAAGTTATATGCAAAGTTCTCGAAATGTGAGTTTTGGTTGGATTCCGTGGCATTCTTGGGTCACGTGGTGTTGAGTGAGGGGATAAAGGTGGATCCAAAGAAAGTGGAAGTAGTGCAACGTTGGCCTAGACCATCCTCAGCTACAGAGATCCGTAATTTTCTTGGCTTGACAGGTTATTACAGTTGATTTGTTGAGGGGTTTTCATCTATTGCAACACCTATGACCAGGCTGACCCAGAAGGGTGCTCCGTTCCAGTGGACGGAAGAGTGTGAGGCGAGCTTTCAGAAGCTCAATACAGCTTTGACTACAGCCCTAGTTTTCATATTGCCTATAGGTTCGGGGTCTTATACTATCTATTGTGATGCCTCGAGGATTGGCCTTGGAGCGGTATTGATCCAGGATGGTAGGATGATTGCCTACGCATCCAGAAAGTTGAAGGTACATGAGAAGAATTATCTTGTCCATGATCTTGAGTTAGCTACTATTGTTCATTCCTTGATGATCTGGCGTCATTATTTGTACGATGTGCTCAATGAGATTTATACTGATCACTAGAGTTTGCAGCATCTGTTCAAGTAGAAGGACCTTAATTTGTGTTAGAGGAGGTGGTTAGAGCTGCTGAAGGACTATGATATCAATATTTTGTATCACCCGGGCAAGACTGATGTGGTGGCCGATACTTTGAGTCGCCGGGCAGAGAGTTTGGGGAGTCTAGCTTATTTACCAGCAGCATAGAAGCCCATGGCGATGTATGTTCAGGCCTTAGCCAGATTGGATCTTTCGGAGCCCTGTCAGGTTCTAGCTTGGGTGGTCTCTTGGTCTTCCTTGTTTTATCGTATCATAGAGCGTCAGTTTGATGACCCTCATTTGCTTGTCCTCAAGGACAAGGTTCTGCACGGTGATGCCAGATATGTGACTATTAGTGATGACGGGGTATTGAGTTTGTAGGGTTGGATTTGTGTAACCAATGTTGATAGGCTTCAAGAGTTGATTCTAGAGGAGGCCCATAGTTCACGATATTCCATTCATCCGGGTGCCGCAAAGATGTACCGNCAGGCCTTAGCCAGCCAGTTTGTGGGATTGGAACTTTCGGAGCCCAGTCGGGTTCTAGCTTGCGTGGTCTCTCGGTCTTCCTTGTTTGATCGTATCAGGGAGTGAGTATGATTACCCTCATTTGCTCATCCTCAAGGACAAGGTTCTATACGATGACGCCAGAGATGTGACTATTAGTGATGATGGGGTCTTGAGGATGCAGGGTCGGGTATGTGTACCCAATGTTGATGGGCTTTAGGATTTGATTCTAGAGGAGACCCATAGTTCGCGATATTCCATCTATCCGGGTGCCGTGAAGATGTACTAGGATTTGAGGCAACACTATTGGTGGAGGCGGATGAAGAAAGATATAGTTGGGTTTGTAGCTCGGTGCCTCAATTGCCAGCAGGTGAAGTACGAACACCAGCGCCTGGGTAGGTTGCTTCAGCAGATAGAGATTTCGGAGTGGAAGTGGGAGCGAATCACCATGAACTTCGTAGTTAGGCTTCCATGGACTTTGAGAAAGTTCTATTCCATTTGGGTGATTGTGGATCGGATGACCAAGTCCGCACACTTCATTCTTGTGTGTACTACCTATTCTTTGGAGCGATTGGTGGAGATTTATTTCCGGGAGATTGTTCGTCTGCATGGTATTACAATTTCCATCATTTCAGATAGAGGCACTCAGTTCACATCACAGTTCTGGAGGGTCGTACATTATGAGTTGGGTACTCGGGTGGAGTTGAGAATAGCACTTCTCCCCCATACGGATAGACAGTCCGAGCGTACTATTCAGATTCTTGAAGATATGCTCCGTGCGTGTCTGATGGAGTTTGGAGGTTCTTAGGAACAGTTCTTGCCACTGGCGGAGTTTGCCTACAACAATAGCTATCAGTCTNGCACAGACTTAGTTTAGGATGCTTTGGAGAAGGTTAAGGTGATTTAGGATAGACTCCGTACAGCCCTGTCTAGACATAAGAGTTACACTGATTGGAAGGTTCGTGATGTTTCCTACATGGTTGGAGAGCGGGTTCTACTTTGGATTTCGCCTAAGAAGGGCATTATGAGATTTGGGAAGAAAGGAAAATTGAGTCCGAGGTTTAATTGTCCTATTGAGATATTGAGACGTGTTGGGGAGTTTTCTTATGAGATTGCCTTACCTCCTAGCCTAGTAGGAGTTCATCCGGTATTTCATGTTTCGATGCTGTGGAGGTATCATGGTGAGTCGTCGCATGTGTTGGATTTCAGTTCAGTCCAGTTGGACAAGGATCTCTCTTATGTTGAGTAGCCAATGGCAATATTGGACAGGCAGGTTCGAAAGTTGAGGTCAAAGAACATTGCACCAATGAAGGTTCTATGGCGGGGTCAGCCAGTCGAGGAGGCGACCTGGGAGACCGAGCAGGATATGCGCAGCCATTACCCTCATCTTTTCACTACTTCAGGTATGTCTATATGCTCGTTCAATGACGAACAAATATATATGTGTAGGAGGATGTAACGACCCGGCTGGTCGTTTTAAGAATTAATGCCCCGATCCCCTATTAACTTCTTTCCCCGTATTTGTTTCTGCTATTGTGATTTTCCGGGATGAGTTGTTTTGAGTTTCGCAGTGTTTTGAGACACTTAGTCCCTAAAAGAGAGCTTAAGCTTTAGAAATTTGGACCGTAGTTGGAGAAGTATAGAGACGGCCTTGGAATGGAATTTTGTTGGTTCCGTTAGCTCCGTTGGGTGATTTCAGTCTTAGGGGCATGTTCAGATTATGTTTTGGAGGTCCGTAGCTTATTTTGGCTTGAAATGCCGAAAGTTGAATTTTTGAAGTTTCCGGTTCGATAGTGAGATTTTGATATCGGAGTCAGAATGGAATTTCGAATGTTGGAGTAGATCTGTAGTGTTGAATGTGACGTGCTTGCAAAATTTCAAGTCATTCGGATGAGGTTTGATAGACTTTTTGATTGAAAGCGTAATTTGAGAGTTTTTGGAGTTCTTAGGCTTGAATCCGATGTTGAATTTGTGTTTTGATGTTGTTTTGAGCATTCCTAAGGTTGGAACAAGTTTGAATGATCTTTTAGGATTGGTTGGCATGTTTGGTTAAGGTCCCGGTGGCCTTGGGTGTGTTTCGGATGTTCAACGGACCATTTGTGGACTTGGAGAAGGATCAGATTTTTGCTGGTATTTGTTGCAGACTTTTCTTCATCGTGATCGCGTGAGGAGGCTCGCGATCGCAAAGGCTTAGATGAGGAAGAGGGGATTTTTGTTCTACGCAATCGCGGGAAGAGGAGTGCGAACGCGTAGTATTAGGGGAAGTTGAATCGCGAACGCGTGGGCTACGCCGCGTTCACGAAGAGGAAGAAGTGAGGCAGCTGGGGAATGGAAGTTTCTCTACGCGATCGCATGAGGCCAACTACAATCACGTAGAGCTAAGAAGCGAAAACATTGCGTTCGCATAGAGTAAGTCTGGGAGCCAGCTAAGTTGCTCTTCGCGATCGCGTGGAAGCTTCCGCGATCGCGATTAAGGTTGCATCTGGGCAGAACATAAAGTTCAAAATCGAGGGTTTTGAGTTCATATCACAAAATTGAATTGGGAGCTCAGTAGGAGACAAACATTGGAGAGATTTTCGGAAGGAGTTTGCGGGTAATGATTCTTAATTCCTTTTTGCTTATAACCCATTATTCTAAACATGAATTCATCATCTAATTTCGGATTTGGGGTGAGAAATTGGGGAAAAATTTGGGAAAGTTCTTAGACCTAATTTTCGAGTTTTGATTGGGGATTTGACATCAAATTTGGATAATTTTGGTATGGTTAGACTCGTGAGTGAATGGGGGTTCATAATCCATAACTTTTACCCGATTCCGAGACATGGGCCCGGGGGGCTTTTTGGGCAATTTTCTTAATTTCGCGTGTTGCTTCGAATTAATTAGTGGAATCAGTTACTTGAATTTATATTTACATTTTGCAATTGATTTGAATAGATTTGGGTCATTTGGAGTTGAGTACTCGTGGCAAGAGCTTGGTTTCAGGTTGAATTTGAGCTGAATCGAGGTAAATGGCTTGCCTAACCTTGTTTGGGGGAACTCCCCTTAGGATTTGGTATTGCTGATAGTTGAAATGCCTTGTACGTGAGGTGATGAGTGCGTACTTGTGCTAATTGTTGAAAATCCGTTTTCATTAAGTAACTATAACTGTGTTTCCTTTCCTGTTTATACTACTCGCAATTTAATCCTACTGTTAGCTTAGGGAAGCATGTCTAATTGACTTAATTGCTTTACTTGCTCAAACTGCTTTATTTGAACTTTGTGCAGCATGCTAGGTTAGAAATACCTGTTTACCTTGATATGAAATTTGGATTTAATTGAATATTCTTCGTGTTGCTGTTGCATGTTTACTTTGGGACTACATATATTGATTTGGACTGTAGTGCAGGATACCCAGAGATCCCCAACATATATATTGAAGATACTAAGACATCCTCGGGAAACTGAGAGATCCCCAACACATATATTGAGGATACTAAGAGATCCTCGGGATACCAAGAGATCCCCATCACACATATTAAGGATACTTAGAGATCCTCGAGATATTGAACGATCCCCGAGTATTTATATTTGGGCCTACATGATGGTATCCTGGGAGATCCCCGGTTGTTATCTCTGTGTTGAGTTGTATTCCTTCTGTGATTATTATGCTCTGTTGTAGTTGTTGCTACTTTTGTTATCCTGTGTTGCTTGATACTGTTAGCATTTAATTATGTCGCATTCTATACTGTTTTACCTCGTTTTTCAGCTATAATCAGTAGGGCCCTGAGCTTCCTCGTCACTACTCGACCGAGGTTAGGCTTGGCACTTACTGAGTACCGTTGTGGTGTACTCATGCCCTTTTTGCGCATGTTTTTCATGTGCAGATCTAGGTTCTTCGGCTCAATCCTACCATCCTTGAGGCGAGATGATCCTTTAGAGACTTCAAGGTATATTGCCGCATCCGCAGACTGAGGAGTCCCTCT